GGCTGGAGCGGGGTGGGGTGAGGCAGGGTGGGGCGGGTTGGGTTGGGGGATAGTGGGGGGTAGGGCGGTGCTGAGTGTCTGGTCAGAAGGAGTGTTGATCGATTCCAGGCTCTGTATTTTCCAGACTGGCTGAATGGTTAAGGTCAAAGGTTTCCTACTCTTGTTTCCTATGAAAGAGAGGCTGTGTGTGTGAGTGTGTGTCACTGGGAGCTCATGTGGAGCAGTAAATATGAATGTGTGTTTGCTAAATTTCACAGTGAAAGCCGGTTTTGTAAGTTTTTTCTTCATTTTTTTCCCCCCCAGATTAGATTAAACTGAGCAAGAGGCGCGACTGAACTACAGGAAGGAAGGCGACACGAGCCTACCTATTGTTAAAATTCCTTATTTTTTAAATTACAGGGTCTTTTAAAGGGACAGTATTATATGTTTTCCAGGCACATGATGCCTGGCATATACACACCATAAATATATATAAAATATGCTGTATCAGTCAAATATGACTTATAACAAATTTGACTTTGTAATTGAACTCCTTGAAATTGGGTTTCTCCTTCTCTTTTTGAAACTCCGCCTTCAGGAAGTCATCACAACATGGCTCCTCAATTAATCCTTTAACATAATTAAAGAGTTAATAGGGATTCTTACCAGCATTGCTCTGAAAAGTAGCTCCTATGATGAGCTTAGCAGATGTGCTAAAGAAAGCTCACTCAGCAGAAAGCTGTGAGTCTGAAGATTGGAAGCTGCAGCACTGAGGAGGAGCTTTGTCCTTAAAGGCGGGGCTAGGTCCCCCCAAATGTTTTGCAAATCTGAATGTTTGCCATGGAGATTAAAGTATTTCTCAAACATGCATGAAAGAATCAAAGCAGCACTCCAGACATGTTTTTGACAAGGCAATAACATTATAACATGATGTAAAGCTAAAAAAAAAAAAAAAAAATTACATGACACTACCTCTTTAAGAGAAACTTTTAAGAAGTTCTAATTCTACACCAAACCTTTTGGAAAAATAATTTGAGATGCTTTTAAAAAAATGAAAATGGGATGAAGAAATAACAGACCTGAACTGCTGGACCAGGTGGCTGGACATCTTGCTTCAGGAGGAGAGAAAAAAAACAAACAAACATTATTTTCAGCTTCTGATGCTGCAGCTTGAATCAATCCTGACAGCTTTGATCTTCCATAAACCTCAGCGGTGGGTGAAACATGGAGGAACCACATCACAGACCACTGAGAGATAAAGATGCTGACAGACTCAGGTAGCAGCAGCCCAAATAAAGGTCTAACCCCGCCGACTGGGACGCAGAAGCATGCCGCACACCACGCACGCAGCAGCATGTGCAGGCTGCATGTAATGCACTGACGCAAATCTGGTGCATCTACATGTGAGCACGGCTGTGTGAGAGAAAGAAGGAAGGATAAAGAGAAGGGGGAGGGGTGTAGGCAGAATGGAGCAGGGAAGGGTGCGAGACTGAGTGAGTGGCCCCCCATTCCCCCACCTCTTCCTCCTTCCATCACTCTCCCACTCGTTGCCCCTCCCCCCACCAGGGACTTGAACCCGTGACCTCACTGGTGAACGAGTTCAAGGGAGGCACCCACGCTGCTGCTGCTGCTGGGGATGTGTGTGAGTGTGAGTGAGAGTGTGACCTCAGCCGAGTTCAGCTGTGTGTGTGTGTGCGTGTGCATGCGTGTGTGTTCAGAGACGTGTTTATTTTGAGGTTTTGTCAAACACTGATTCTCACAACTGGAGGTTTGAGCGAGAAGAGGAAGAGCTGCTGAAGTCTTCCTGGGAATTTCCACTCACAGTTCTTCTGTTTCTGATCACTGGTTTGAAATGTGACAAGGATTTGATATGTGTGTGTGTGTGTGTGTGTGTGGATGTGTGTAACGCCTCTGGTTTTGGCTAGCTGCTGGGTGTGTGAGTGTGTCTGCATCCTGATACCTGCCCCAGACTGGATCAATACTCTAATCTAATTGTCATTCTCTTGCGTTGTGGCAGTCGGCCATGCAGCTCACACAGCATGCGGGTCGGCACGCCTTTCTACTCACACACACACGCACACGCACGCACACACACACACACACACACACACATGCATTAAAAAAAAAAACAACACACACATTCACAGCAAACCGACATGATGAATGAGAATCCAGCAGTGTGGTTGCCATGTTAGCCTTGTTGTTCTCCGATCCATCCTCCCGTCTCTCTGGGCGTTCCTCCTCAGTGTTGCATCATGCACGCCCTTCAGTGTGGGCAAACACTCGCTGACACCCTGTCACATCACACCGACCTCTCCCTATCAAGGTCCGGTGAAGAGGGAGGATGCTGGAGGACGCTTCGGAGGCACAGCACCAGAACCAGAACCAGAACTGACTCACCTTCTGCATCAGCCTCTGCTGGAGCAGCAGCACCTCTGTCCTCATTCTCCTTTTGACTCTGATGGACTTCCACCCTGTCTTCCTCTGTCCTTTCTGCTCTTCATCCTTCTCCTCCTCTTCGTCCTCCTTTGTCGTTTAACACTCTCTGTCCTTTCCTTTGCTCTGCTCTGTTGTCCTCCCGCTGATTTAAACTGGAGGCTGTCTGCTAAGAGACTGAGCAGCAATAGGAAGTACAAACCAGGACAGACACACACACTCACAGACACACACACGCAGGCTCTGTCAGTTTGAATGAATACTGTGCACACTTGGCTTGTCTCTCCTCCCCCCTCTCTCTCTTCCTCTCTCCCCTTTTCCTTCTCTCTGTCTACCAGACACCCCTCCTCCACTCCTTTCTTGCTCTGGCCTCCTTTACTATCTCCTCCCTCCCTCCCTCCCTCCCTCCCTCTCTCTCTCTCTCTCTCTCTCACCGTTTCTGCTGCTACCCTTCAAACATGTTCACACTCCAAGACTGACAGACGTTATAGAGCTGCACTGCTACCCCAATGACCCCACCCACCACGGACACACACATGCACATGCACGCGCACACACACAGTGTCTCATGGGTGGAGGTTTGTTGTAGACCAGAATGCAGAGATGAGGTGGAGAGGAGCATGATGAAATGAAGGTTTAATAATAAACTCAGGCTGATATTAACAGCAGCAACAATAGCAGAGGATCTGACAACTGACTGACTGAGCCAAGGAGTGTTTACGCTTTTGGATTACAGAATGCTACACATATGAGCAAATGAACAGAGGAGGAGCAGCCACAGGACAGCAGGCGGCCAACGCCCTGAGGGACACCACAGAGTGAACCAGAAACCCCCGAAATAAATCAGTCAATCAAAAACAATCAGAAATACAAAGATGGAAACAGACAGAAACTCTAAATGCTACAGTTTGTGAAAGCTGCTGTAATTTTTTTATAAAATAACTTTCTCTGTTTCCCTATATATATATATATATATATATATATATATATATATATATATATATAAATGTGCTATGTTGAGACAGTGTAATATTAGACACATAATCTGTGAAACAATCAGAGCCTCTATTGCTGCGAAGCAATACAAAAACAACCAATCAGAGCAAGGAGGAGGGGTTTAGTGCTATCAATCACTGCTCAATGTGCTGATGGTGGAGAAACAACTGGACAACGCTTTATGTGCTGCTCATGCTAACTAGCCTGAGCATTCACAACAGGCTCTACTGATGTGGAGAAACTGGATTTAAAAGGTTTACTTTTCTTTTTCTAACATATTTAGGAATTAAAACCTCCTTGGATTATTCCAGTAGAAGCAGCAGTCTGCTATGAACACATTTGTGTTCAGTGTAGCCACTAAACATCAGTCTGCAGTAATTCTACCTTTTCATCAAGCTGATCATCCTGCTTGATCTGACAGCACACTTCAACTCTTCTGCATTGACTCTGATGTCTGTCGTCTTCCTCTTCTGAACAGTCCATTCTTTCTCTGCGGGGTTTAGGTCAGGCCAGTTTGTTGGTGTTACCATGGTGATTACAACAGGTACTGGTACTTTTGGCAGTGTGGGCAGGTATCAAGTCCTACTAGAAAGTGAAATCAGCATTTCCAAAAAGCTTTGTCAGCAAAATGAAGCACGAAGGCATCGAAAATGTCACATTAAAAGGTTATAACCAATAGCAACAGATGACAGCATCCCTAATCATCAGTCGTCAACTGGACCGTGTTTATGATTGATTTACATAACGTTTGCCTTAAGACAACTTTTTTAGAACTATATATGAACTATATATTTGAAGTTTGACAAATAAAGTTGGTCAAACTTACTATATTTACATGATGACTTAATAAACATAAGAAATGTACTTGGTTACCCAGTTATTTGTGATCAGGGAACTCGGTGTATTGCAGTTGGATCACCTGTTTTCATTTTACAGGGTAACTTGATCAAAGTGCTTCTTCATCAGTTGATGTATCTTTTTAAATGTAAGAGAAACCAAATTTTGGATATTAATTACGGTAGCTTTAAGCTGTGACAATCAACATTGACAGAAATGAACAGATTCAAAAAAATTTTTATGTATGCAACAAATGGAATGAAATTTACTCTTTGAATCGAAATACCTCATTACATCAACTTTCAAATTATATTCTAAATTATTTCAAAGCTATTCTAATTTAAGGAGATGAATTAGAAGCTGGTTTCCCAAAAACATGCCGAAGAAATGAGAAACAATGTAAGAAAGTTTTGAAAGCGTATGGAAGACCTGACAGAAATTAGATGATGGTCGATCCATTAGGAGCGGTCCACCTTGTGGCACCTGCAGACCCAGACTGATGACTGAGTTCATCATTGTTTGGTAAGTGTCAGATTTGAGGATTATTTCACTAATCAGCTCCACTTCTCCTGGTTAATTCAAAGAGTTAAATCTACTTCTGAGCTCCACTGAAGTTGATTCAGAGTGGAAGCAGCAGTCTACTTCTAGAATGTTTCTTAAACATTCAAAACATGAATGTTTAAGAAAACAAAAGGGAGGATTTGACTTTATTGGGAGAATTTCTACACATGCATTATTGGTTTCTGCTCTGCATCCCCAGATGCAGAGCAGAAACCAAACATGGAGAAGCAGCATTCAGTTTCTATGCACCACAAATCTAACAAACTTCCAGAAAACTGCAAAACAGTTGAAACCCTGAGTTTCTGTTTAGAGTTGCTTTTGAACCATAATAAATGAAATATTGACTAAAATATTTCAGTCATGTTGTGCTTCATGATTTTGAAGATGGTATTTAACAAAATGTAATGTTTATTGTTTGTTTCACAATAAGTAAAGAACTTTGAACTGCCTTGTTGCTGAAATGTGCTACACAAATAAACTTAAACATTTTCTCATCTCAATTCTTTTTTTTATTTCCAGCAGTTTAAATAAGAATTAAAAACAAACTCAACATTTTCTAATAAACATTTCTGACATGTAAAAAAAATATACTGTGTATATATACTGCTCAAAAAAATAAAGGGAACATTTCACTTTAATTTTGTGTGTGGCTCTAAATCCAGGCCTCCATTTTTGTTAATATATTTGATTTCCATTGATGATTTTTGTGTGATTTTGTTGTCAGCACATTCAACTTTGTACAGAACAAAGTATTCAATGAGAATATTTCATTCATTCAGATCTAGGATGTGTTATTTGAGTGTTCCCTTTATTTTTTGAGCAGTATTTAGATTTG